TGGTAGCGTGTGTGACTGTTTTTTTGGGGTACATGGTACGGCAGCAATGGGTTATATTTTCATTCCCAACGCCCCACCTACTCCGTCTCCGGTACCTACCACGTGCTTTTTGGTTGGACCTTGTGACTGATGTGGTGCTCGGGTGAACATTTTCTGGTAGCGTGTGTGACTGTTTTTTTGGGGTACATGGTACGGCAGCAATGGGTTATATTTTCATTCCCAACGCCCCACCTACTCCGTCTCCGGTACCTACCACGTGCTTTTTGGTTGGACCTTGTGACTGATGTGGTGCTCGGGTGAACATTTTCTGGTAGCGTGTGTGACTGTTTTTTTGGGGTACATGGTACGGCAGCAATGGGTTATATTTTCATTCCCAACGCCCCACCTACTCCGTCTCCGGTACCTACCACGTGCTTTTTGGTTGGACCTTGTGACTGATGTGGTGCTCGGGTGAACATTTTCTGGTAGCGTGTGTGACTGTTTTTTTGGGGTACATGGTACGGCAGCAATGGGTTATATTTTCATTCCCAACGCCCCACCTACTCCGTCTCCGGTACCTACCACGTGCTTTTTGGTTGGACCTTGTGACTGATGTGGTGCTCGGGTGAACATTTTTTGGTAGCGTGTGTGACGGGTTTTTTGGGGTACATGGTACCGCAGCAATGGGTTTTATTTTCATTCCCACCGCCCCACCTACTCCGTCCCCGGTGCCCACCACGTGCTTTTTGGTTGTACCGTCTGACTTGTGTGGTGCTCGGGTAAACATTTTCTGGTAGCGTGCGTGACTGTTTTTTTGGGGTACATGGTTTGGCAGCAATGGGTTTTATTTTCATTCCCATCCCCCCATCTACCCCGTCCCCGGTACCCACCACCTGCTTTTTGGTTGTACCGTCTGACTTGTGTGGTGCTCGAGTGAACATTTTTTGGTAGCGTGTGTGATTGTTTTTTTGTGGTACATGGTACGGCAGTAATGGATTGTATTTTCGTTCCCAACCCCCCCCCTTCCCCGTCCCCTGTACCCACCACGTGTTTTTTGGTTGTCCCGTCTGACTTGTGTGGTGCTCGGGTGAACATTTTCTGGTAGCGTGCGTGACTGTTTTTTTGGGGTACATGGTTTGGCAGCAATGGGTTTTATTTTCATTCCCATCCCCCCATCTACCCCGTCCCCGGTACCCACCACCTGCTTTTTGGTTGTACCGTCTGACTTGTGTGGTGCTCGAGTGAACATTTTTTGGTAGCGTGTGTGATTGTTTTTTTGTGGTACATGGTACGGCAGTAATGGATTGTATTTTCGTTCCCAACCCCCCCCCTTCCCCGTCCCCTGTACCCACCACGTGTTTTTTGGTTGTCCCGTCTGACTTGTGTGGTGCTCGGGTGAACATTTTCTGGTAGCGTGTGTGACTGTGTTTTTGGGTATATGGTACGGCAGCAATGGATTATATTTTCGTTCCCAACGCCCCACCTACTCCGTCTCCGGTGCCTACCACGTGCTTTTTGGTTGGACCTTGTGACTGATGTGGTGCTTGGGTGAACATTTTCTGGTAGCGTGTGACTGTTTTTTTGGGGTAAATGGTACGGCAGCAATGGATTTCATTTTCATTCCCAACCCCCCCTTTCCCCGTCCCCTGTACCCACCACCTGCTTTTTGGTTGGACCTTGTGACTGATGTGGTGCTCGGGTGAACATTTTCTGGTAGCGTGTGACTGTTTCTTTGGGGTACATGGTACGGCAGTAATGGGTTAAAATTTCATTCCCACCGCCCCACCTACTCCGTCCCCGGTACCCACCACGTGCTTTTTGGTTGTACCGTCTGACTTGTGTGGTGCTCGGGTGAACATTTTCTGGTAGCGTGTGTTGCTGTTTTTTGGGTACATGGTACGGCAGTAATGGGTTAAAATTTCATTCCCACCGCCCCACCTACTCCGTCCCCGGTACCCACCACGTGCTTTTTGGTTGTCCCGTCTGACTTGTGTGGTGCTCGGGTGAACATTTTCTGGTAGCGTGTGTGACTGTGTTTTTGGGTATATGGTACGGCAGCAATGGATTATATTTTCGTTCCCAACGCCCCACCTACTCCGTCTCCGGTGCCTACCACGTGCTTTTTGGTTGGACCTTGTGACTGATGTGGTGCTTGGGTGAACATTTTCTGGTAGCGTGTGACTGTTTTTTTGGGGTAAATGGTACGGCAGCAATGGATTTCATTTTCATTCCCAACCCCCCCTTTCCCCGTCCCCTGTACCCACCACGTGGTTTTTGGTTGTCCCGTCTGACTTGTGTGGTGCTCGGGTGAACATTTTCTGGTAGCGTGCGTGACTGTTTTTTGGGGGTACATGGTATGGCAGCAATGGGTTTTATTTTCATTCCCATCCCCCCATCTACCCCGTCCCCGGTACCCACCACCTGCTTTTTGGTTGGACCTTGTGACTGATGTGGTGCTCGGGTGAACATTTTCTGGTAGCGTGTGACTGTTTCTTTGGGGTACATGGTACGGCAGTAATGGATTGTATTTTCATTCCCACCGCCCCCCCTACCCCGTCCCCGGTACCCACCACGTGCTTTTTGGTTGGACCTTGTGACTGATGTGGTGCTCGGGTGAACATTTTCTGGTAGCGTGTGACTGTTTCTTTGGGGTACATGGTACGGCAGTAATGGATTATATTTTCATTCCCACCGCCCCCCCTACCCCGTCCCCGGTACCCACCACGTGCTTTTTGGTTGTACCGTCTGACTTGTGTGGTGCTCGGGTGAATATTTTTTGGTAGCCTGTGTGACTGTTTTTTGGGTACATGGTACGGCAGTAATGGATTATATTTTCATTCCCACCGCCCCACCTACTCCGTCCCCGGTACCCACCACGTGTGTTTTGGTTGTCTCGTCTGACTTGTGTGGTGCTCGGGTGAACATTTTCTGGTAGCGTGTGTGGCTGTTTTTTGGGTACATGGTACGGCAGTAATGGATCATATTTTCATTCCCACCGCCCCACCTACTCCGTCCCCGGTACCCACCACGTGCTTTTTGGTTGTACCGTCTGACTTGTGTGGTGCTCGGGTGAACATTTTTTGGTAGCGTGTGTGACTGTGTTTTTGGGGTACATGGTACGGCAGCAATGGACTTTATTTTTATTCCCAACCCCCCCCCTTCCCCGTCCCCTGTACCCACCACGTGTTTTTTGGTTGTCCCGTCTGACTTGTGTGGTGCTCGGGTGAACATTTTCTGGTAGCGTGTGTGACTGTTTTTTTGGGGTACATGGTACGGCAGCAATGAATTTTATTTTCATTCCCACCGCCCCATCTACCCCGTCCCCGGTACCCACCACGTGTTTTTTGGCTGTACCGTCTGACTTGTGTGGTGCTCGGGTGAACATTTTCTGGTAGCGTGTGTGACTGTTTTTTTGGGGTACATGGTACGGCAGTAATGAATTTTATTTTCATTCCCACCGCCCCATCTACCCCGTCCCCGGTACCCACCACGTGTTTTTTGGCTGTACCGTCTGACTTGTGTGGTGCTCGGGTGAACATTTTCTGGTAGCGTGTGTGACTGTTTTTTTGGGGTACATGGTACGGCAGTAATGAATTTTATTTTCATTCCCACCGCCCCATCTACCCCGTCCCCGGTACCCACCACGTGTTTTTTGGCTGTACCGTCTGACTTGTGTGGTGCTCGGGTGAACTTTTCCTTGTAGCGTGCGTGCCCTTTGTTTCGCGTACGGACTACGGCAGTAATACTTTTTGCTGCAGACCCCCCACCGTCCCACGATTGTGTGTGTGGTTTTCTTGTAATTCATGCATATTTGTTTCCACGTGCCTGTCATTACGGCCTGGGAGGCATGCGGTGTCCGCAAAGGTCGTTGCACAAAGGATAGGTGGTCTTGCAAGACGGGTCTTCTTCTCAAATGCAATTGTAGAAGGTGTCAAGAGGGATTCTTTCCCTGACAACGAACCACAATCATTTTCCAGCAGTGTAACGGTGACACGAAATTTTAATCAGCATCACAGTAAAAGGTGGCACAGAAGGGGCACCCCGAAGGATTCAGCGGTACGTTGCAGCACATAGGGCGCCGATGCTCGTCACACACACGCACGGCGAAACAACCGGCATAACAGGGTCAGGGGAACGGGTGCAACAACGTCTTTACAATAAACGTGGGGAAGGGGGGGGGGCATGACAAGCATTACTGCCGCAGCCCACACGCAAAAAAAATCACAACCGTTACAAAAAAAAAGAACACCCAAAGAGAAGGCAAGTTGGACGGTGCAAACAACGCCTTTACAACAAAACTTGGGCACAAGGGGACCGAGGGGCAGAGGGCATGACAAGCATGGCTGCCGCAGCCCATACGCAAAATTAAACACAATCGTGTACAAAAAAACTCAACACCCAAAGAGAAGACACTGTCGGATGGTGCAACAAAGTCTTCACAAGAAAACGTGGGGACGAAGGGGGGAGCGGGGGGGGGCATGACAAGCGTTACTGCCGTAGCCCGTACGCCAAAGAAAAAACACAACCGCTACAAGAAAACAAAAAAAAGAAAAAGAAGGCATGTCGGACGGTGCAAGCAACGTCTTAACAATAATACTTGGGCACAAGGGGACTGAGGGGGAGAGGGCATGACAAGTATGGCTGCCNGGGGGGCATGACAAGCGCTACTGCCGTAGCCCGTGCGCCAAAAAAAAAAAACAACCGCTGCAAGAAAAAACATAACCAAAGAGAAGGCATGTCGGACGGTGCAAACAACGTCTTAACAATAAAACTTGGGCACAAGGGGACAGAGGGGGAGAGGGCATGACAAGCATGGCTGCCATAGCCCGTACACCAAAAAAAACGCTACAAGCGAAATGAAAATACCCAAGAAGAAGACGTGTCGGACGGTGCAAACAACGTCTTAACAATAAAACTTGGGCACAAGGGGACAGAGGGGGAGAGGGCATGACAAGCATGGCTGCCATAGCCCGTACACCAAAAAAAACGCTACAAGCGAAATGAAAATACCCAAGAAGAAGACGTGTCGGACGGTGCAACGATGTCTTTACAAAAAACGTGGGAACCAAGGGGAGGAGGGGGTCATGACAAGCGTTATTGCCGTAGCCCGTACGCCAAAAAAAAAGACAACCGCTACAAGAAAAAAAACACCAAAAGAGAAAGCATGTCGGACGGTGCAAACAACGTCTTTACAATAAAGCTTGGGCACAAGGGGACAGAGGGGGAGAGGGGAGAGGGCATGACAAGCATGGCTGCCGCAGCCCATACGCAAAATTAAACACAATCGTTTACAAAAAAANAGGAGGGGGTCATGACAAGCGTTACTGCCGTAGCCCGTACGCCAAAAAGAAAGACAACCGCTACAAGAAAAAAAACACCCAAAGAGAAGGCATGTCGGACGGTGCAAACAACGTCTTTACAATAAAACTTGGGCACAAGGGGACAGAGGGGGAGAGGGCATGACAAGCATGGCTGCCACAGCCCATACGCAAAATTAAACAGAATCGTTTACAAAAAAACTCAACACTCAAAGAGAAGACATTGTCGGATGGTGCAACAAAGTCTTTACAAAAAACGTGGGAACCAAGGGGAGGAGGGGGGCATGACAAGCGTTATTGCCGTAGCCCGTACGCCAAAAAAAAAGACAACCGCTACAAGAAAAAAAACACCAAAAGAGAAAGCATGTCGGACGGTGCAAACAACGTCTTTACAATAAAGCTTGGGCACAAGGGGACAGAGGGGGAGAGGGGAGAGGGCATGACAAGCATGGCTGCCGCAGCCCATACGCAAAATTAAACACAATCGTTTACAAAAAAAACTCAGCACCCAAAGAGAAGACATTGTCGGATGGTGCAACAAAGTCTTCACAAGAAATCGTGGGGACGAAGGGGGGAGCGGGGGGGGGCATGACAAGCGTTACTGCCGTAGCCCGTACGCCAAAGAAAAAACACAACCGCTACAAGAAAACAAAAAAAAGAAAAAGAAGGCATGTCGGACGGTGCAAGCAACGTCTTAACAATAATACTTGGGCACAAGGGGACTGAGGGGGAGAGGGCATGACAAGTATGGCTGCCATAGCCCATACACAAAAACACACACACACACACTCTCTCTCTAAATTCTCACGTGTCCAGCCACGCTAGCAACGGGACGTGCCGCTTTCGCACCAACACCACCACTCTTCCGCGTTCCGGTGAATCCCGGGAGGGAGGACAGTGTTGCAGACCGTGTTGCGCCCAAGACAACGGGGGCAACTACCGCAGCAGAGGAAGTAGGCGTTGCCGTAGCGGGCGATGACGAGACGGGCGTAGGGCTGGAAGCTATCCCCGCCGCGGACACGGGTGTAGCCGCTGCGGGCGAGGACGACATGGGGGCTGGGCTGCCTCCTACCCCGGCCGTAGATGCAAGTGTTGCCGCAGCAGGCGGAGTAGACTCGGACGTACGGAGTGCAGCTCCTGGACCGGTTGGTGTCGCCGCCGAGATGGGTTTGGCCAAGAAGTTGCTGTCGGGCTGCTCGCACGCGGCCATCATTGCGGCTCGCAGTTCCATCTTTTTTTGTTCGGATGGTGCATACTCCATCATCCCCTTGAAGTCTGCACTTTTCGCCTTTTTGGCCTCTCGAGCGTCCGCCAAGCGAGCCCTGCCTGCGGCCTTATCATCCAAAGACTGCCTCGACGCAACAGCCGCCGACAGAGCTTCCACGGCCGTCACCAGCTTGGCTGTGTTAGTCTCCTGGACGCGGCGGGCCTGCAGTTGCGCGTTGGTGGCCGCTACCGCAGCAGTCTCCTTCCTCACCTGTGCTCGGCTTTGAATTTCGCCGACCCCTGTGAACACCCGGATCGCGCTGGACGACAGATCAACCTCGGTGTACGCACCGCTCGCCTCCGACCCGCTTTGATCGCTGGTGCTGGGTGAACCTTTCTTCGCCTTCTGCTTCTCGCCGCAACCCTTGGCCCCGGACGCGCCGTGACCCTTGGGTCCGGATGTTTTGCGTGCGGTTCGGAGGTGAGGGTCCTCGCTGCTGCATGGCCTTCCGATCAAACAGAATGTCAGGAGATACTGGTGCATCCAATTGTTGGGCCTCTGCGGAAGTCCGCCCACTTCTCGTGTGATTTCTTCGGAGGGGGCATCATCCCCGTTGCCCGGCGTATCGTCATCTGGCTCCTTCTTCATCCCCCCCTCCCCCGCCGGTGGGTCATCACCGCTGCTTTCCTGTGGTTCCACTGCTTCCTCCGTTCCTTTCTGCTTTCCACTCCCGCCGTCCTCGCTCTCCGTTGGTGACGATTCCCCAGAGTCATCTTCCGAACCCTCTCCCTCACCGTCACCACTCTCTTCCAACTCGATCGGGTCCTCTGCGTTCCCCGTTCCGGATTCCATNATCTGGCTCCTTCTTCATCCCCCCCTCCCCCGCCGGTGGGTCATCACCGCTGCTTTCCTGTGGTTCCACTGCTTCCTCCGTTCCTTTCTGCTTTCCACTCCCGCCGTCCTCGCTCTCCGTTGGTGACGATTCCCCAGAGTCATCTTCCGAACCCTCTCCCTCACCGTCACCACTCTCTTCCAACTCGATCGGGTCCTCTGCGTTCCCCGTTCCGGATTCCATGTGGTAGACTCCGTCCAGAAGGTACTCGATGGCGTCTTCGTCTTGGCTGCCCGACGGTAGTTGGTCCCCAGGTTGTCCTTCGACGAAACTGGGCCAGGAGTGCGCGGGAAGAAGGTAGAGAGAGGTAGGAAGAACGGGTGAGATTGACAGCGATCGTAACGCACACTCGATCGCGTGTACGCGCAAAGGTGACACATATTCCGAATGATGACGGGCAGCAGTTCACACCCATGTCGCCACTGGTCTTACTATTATGGATGGGTTTTCTTCTATCCGACTTATTTCGAAGGGCCGTGGCGCGGAAGCTGTGTCAAGAATACACACCACTGTATATTTCGCTGAGGTTTAGAATATTGTTCCGGGAGTCATGCTAATCGGCCAAAGTGACACAGCACCGGTGTGCCACATGCACATGAGTTCCGTCATCGTTTTCGAGTAGGCCGACCAGGGAGTGGGTCACCGTACCGAGGGCAAAACGACACGCTGCGAAACGCACAAGGGTTTATGACTACAGTTTTGGCTTGGTGCGGAGAGTGCAGCAATAAATCTGACATGAGTGTAACGTTGTTTATTGTGTGTCTCACCGCGACAACTTGCATGCGTAGTTTATTTGATCGGAGGGGAAACACGGTGGGGGATGGGCGGTCTACTTTATTTTCCGCGCAACATGTTGTACGCCCTGGGGCCACCTACTTCAAAAGCTGTTCCCAGCCGTGGTGTTACGTTGTTTTTTGAAGGGGGAGGGGGCAAACGCCAGCCAGTTGCGGCCAAAAGCAGCTGTTAACGCGATTGAGCATTTGTTCAACACTGCTGTTCGCATAGTACATGTATGGTGATCGGGGCACGTGACATTTCGAATTTGAATGTAGTGTGGCAATTCCGTTGTTGTGCGGACAAAAAACAAGCACATCAAACCGCTAGGCACCGCGTTCGATGCTCACGACAATCACAGAATGTGGCGTCTTGCAGCAGCGGAGGTGGCGGTGCTGCTGTAGCTCGTAGACTTTGTAGTCTACCACAGAGGTTACACTGCTGTAACCGCTCTATCACAGACGTTGGTCTACACTGCTGTGAGATCGGTAGGCGCGAGCGAGCTTTGGAAAGAGAAATGCAGATAGATGTTCTTAGCAACTGACTCCCTGGTCAGGCTTTGATGGGTGCTAGATGAGAGTGAGCACAAGGGGCGAAGGCGCGCTTGTGTGTCATCTCAACAACACAACAAAAACAAAAAACAAGGAGCAAAAACACAGCAGGTTCCGAGGGTCTCCGGAGTAATGGCCCGAGTACCGGAATTTCGGGGTTCGGAACAATAAAACAACTACAGTCTCGCCTGCCAAATTATCTCCGCTACAACTCTGTGCTCATGTTCTCTGCTGAGTACCATTTCTTCTTTCTGTATTATGTCTACGGAAGGCTAGTTGCCGCAGTCGCACCTATGGTAAACTGTGCCTGACTACGTTGTAACAGGTTTCCTCGACAGGACCCCTCGATGAGGCAAGTAGCCAATGTTCCAAAACTTCACTTCGCTGCCATTCTTGCGACCCCTCGATTCCCAATCCACATCAAAGAATATCGACCTCCACATAATGACAGATCGTAGCGGGTGCATTGGGCAAGGTACAGGAGACTCCCGGTGATGGCCTGGAATTTCTGCTGGTCCTCGGGTCCGAGTAGTTGGTCTTGTGGCTGCTCGGTTGATAGTTCTGCTCCATACCCGGGGGTGCTGACCGGGTTTGCCTGTTCCATTCCGTATCGCTGTAGGATATCTCTCGCGTAGGGTCCTTGCGATATGGCTAGTGTGCCATGTTCGTAGTCCCGCTGCACTTCGATGCCGATTACGCGCTTGACCTCTCCCATGTCTGTCATTTCGAAGCTGTCCATGAGTTCCTTCTTTTTGCTGCTCACGATCTCCTTGTTTCCGCCCGTGATGAGGATGTCATCGACGTAGATCGCGAGGATTGTGAGTTCGTCCCCGCTTACGAAGATGTAGACACAGGGGTCAGAGCGAGTGCGCTGCCAGCCGAAGATGATGAGTCTGTCATTGATGGCGTCGTCCCACATTGACGGGGACTGTGACAGGCCGTACAGACTTTTCTCAAGTTTGTAAACCATCATTTCACCTGTCGTAGGGTCCCTCTCCTCGTCGCCTGGCGCCGGCCTGACGTAGACGTCTCTGTCGGTGTACGCGTTCAGGAATGCAGCTACCACGTCC